TGTGATTGAGAGCGAAGTTTCTGATTGAGGGCGAGATTGCGCGATGCGCTGTAGCTGGACTACCGCTGAGAGGTGGAGCTTGCTGCGTGACTTGAATTGAAGGCCTAGCCCGTAGCTACAAGCCGATACCCTGGTCATCCTGTGGGCGTCTCTCGTTGTGGAGCTACAGCGGGGAGCAGAATCTACAGCAGAGCTCACCGCCCGCGATCAAATCGCCCTGAAACAGTTTGAGGCAGGAATAGCCAATCTGGGGAAATCTAGCAATTTGTCTAGCTCCTAGCTGCAGCATCCGATCGCGATGACACGCATATGCTCGTGACGCTGCTGATGAGACCTTCAATTTGCGCCGCTTCTTGGAAGAGCCCGNTAGACGCTGCTGATGAGACCTTCAATTTGCGCCGCTTCTTGGAAGAGCCCGCCCCCTACTTCCCAAGAAATGGCAAGAGGCGTCTGGACCCGAAATTTCAATTTTTTTGGCTCCCGTTCTCAATCGTATACTCCGCTCTCAATCAGGCGAAAACCCTGTTACTTGTGGTGTTGGTTGGGTGTAGTCTAATTGACAACTTTATTGCATCGACGTTGTCCATGTTGTTGTCCATGTTGAGACACAGGGACACGTCCTGCAGGTTGCCCACCCCCAGGTTAACAACAGTTAACGATGCAAGCAAATTTAAGCAAGTGAAGGAAAGGGTCAAGATTGATTTTACAGCATGCAGTGTATTTCGGTTTGGCCTTGATCCACAGAAAAACATTCTTCCCCACAACATGTGGGTTGCCACAGCATGTGGGTTGCCACAACATGTGGGTTGCATCGGTGCGGCAAGGGTAAGCACAGAATACCGACATGCTCAATGCACATATTTAAATTACTCGCTAAGCCCAACGAAGAGGTTCCCCATTCTGGTCAATATGTTCCACAATGTAGCCGGGGCGGCTCACCCAGTCAGGCCAGCACACGAAAACGAACATGCAAGAGGGGTGCGAAGGCAGCCCTTGCTTACCCCACGGCTTGTTCTACCTCTGACCAAGACGTAATAAATGTTTAATTTAACACGATCCACGCATTTATGCATACGATCACCCAAATGAATCCTCCCTGAGCGGAGGTTACTGAGGGCGAGCCTGGGAGGTGCCCTGAGTCCATCTCCGTGGTCTGCAGGGCCGAATATATGTGCATGTCCGACAACGCCCAGAAGGGGCAAACGCGTCGGTGTTGAACCCGTCGATCAGTCCCTTATGTCCGCCCCCCCCCCCTCCCCCCCCTTTTTGCTCGATTTTCGATTTTGGGGCCTACGTGCCACGAATGTTTTTCACGTTTTTCCCGGTGACAACAACAGGTCATCATCAGAAGACACGATTGATTTTCGCAGGGTTCCGGCCGGCCAGGATGTGGTTTGGTCGTTGATATATAGAATGGACTAGGACGTTTTGAACAAGGAGTAGTTGGATTTTTAAGCAAAAACACTCTCCTCCTAGGTGGTGCAACCTACATACCCCAACGGTACTTTCTCAAAGACCCTCCAGATCTCGATTGACTAGTCTATGACGCTCCAAAAGTCTACATGCGTTGGCATACAGTTGGCTTTGTTGCTGGCCCGTTCAACATTTCAAAGACGGGACACTCGGGGATGTTAGGACGTGCAAAGACTACATGCGAACCTACGTACACCCGCAGCACTCGGCTGGAATTCTCAGGGCAAACGTGCGTGCTTAACGAATGGTGAGGACTACTTCCCACCGCCGTTTTCTACGACAAGTTCCCAGCGTGTAGCTGCAATGCGACGGTCGGTCGGGCCAAGTCGCTACCATCCGCTGATGATGCTCTTGCCGAACTCCGGCCGCAACGTCTGGATATATTTGTTGGCAAAACAAAGACTTTCGTCTTTTCCCGTCAACTTCGGCTTTCTACCTTGGCTACAATAAACCTTCCGTCAGCACCGGCTACAACAATAAACCATTCCAACCACCAACCGCACGCGCTTCGTTACTTGGCAAAACACAGACTTCCTCCGTCTTCTTCCGCCAACACGGGCTACCTTATGAGACGCAACCAACAAACCAAAACTCATCAGCGAAAACGAGCACACAGACAGACAAGACAGACCGAACGAAGAAGAAATCGGCCGTGCGACGATGACGGTGTTGCCAATATTACTGGCCCAACACGGCGGGTGGCGATGACTTGCCCAACATGTTGTTGGTCATCATCTTGTACGTGGTCGGAGCCCGAGGGTTGATGGTCATTCGCCAGGTCCTGAATATACATGTAATAAAAAAAGACCCAGAAAAATGGGACGAAAAAGGAAGCAGGAAGGAAAAATCGGGGATAAAAGTGACGTCAAGAGCACAAAGGCCGAGCATGCAAAGAAACGAACAAAGGGTGTGTTCTGAAGGGTACCCACAGAAGTGTACCGGCGGTTTTATTTCGGGTATCTACCCTACAGAACGTAGCACGGAATCTGCGGTACTTCCAATACCTTACAGAAACGTCGATTCGATTAGCTATATTATGCGACATTCCAATACCCTACAGAAAACATCTTTACGTAGCATTTATGAAGATACCCGAAACGTTCCGTGAGTTCTGTACGACCTTGTCACAAACCCGATTTTTTCTGTTGGGTTTGTTCCGATACCCTACAGGACATTTCTGTGAATTCTATTCCACTTCTGACGCCTCACGAAGCCCCCCCCCCGTACGTGGCACTGCCGATACCCTACCAGACACTTGTACTTCTATATGCATGCGATCTTGATGGCCGGCCAACAGAGAAACGGCGGGTATCCTGTGTCCGTTTCCAACCATGTATCACATCGCAGACAAACACGGTTGGCTATTATTGGGAGTCGAGTGGGGTGGAGGCTTTTGCTCCTCGCTTGTGTTTGTCGGCAGTCGTTTGGTGGGACTCTATAGTCTAAATGCGTGCGTGCGCGGATATATTTTGTATCGTGGATCAGGAGTTGTGTGGGCGGCGGGAGCTTGATTGAAAGGCGTGCGAGAACATGGTGATGAATGAGGGAGGCATGTTTGCCTCCACGTCAAACGAATACGCAATAAGAGGCGTCCGATGGATGGTGCTTTCCAACGGTTGTTGTATTGGAGCGGGGGATTTCGTAGGGCTAACTAAACCAACGGATGCCTCATGCCGAGTTCGTTTCATGGGGGTAAGGATGGTGCTACGTTCCAAGAGAAATAGTAGCAATAGTAACCCTGTGTGTGCTGACAGACCAGTGTATTCTTGTGCTGCCGTCTCCACATACATATATATCAAATCAGGCGACCTCAATCCAACCCGTCCAAATTCAAAGTGAATCAAACTGATTTCGATGTTTAGCATACAGGTTAGGGTACACGCAAAAAAAGACGTACGAACGCTGCACGCGTATGTGTTCCAGGTTTCACCCACATACAGTAGTACTTCATGATTACCGGCTGCGGTAGGCTCAGCAATCTGCCACCCGTGGGGCGAAGCGTGAGATTGTGTCCGGGGGGCTGTACAAATTACCCACAGGGGAGTAATGAACAAAGTTCAGGGCAAATAGGGTAGGACGACGATGACCATTTGTCGTATGTTTTGGTTGTGCTGGAGGACCAGATGTTCAGTAGAGGCGGCGGTACACGGATGGATGCAAAACAACAACGCAGTCGCGAATACTCCAAAAGGCATCGTTAGCAAAAACATTATGTACAGCACTTGTAATAATGCGCTTGCTTGTGCTTCGTTCCCACCCCAGTATGAAAACGCCAAAATAAAAAAAAAAATTGTCCGTTACCTTCCGAACAAATCACTCGTCGTCGTCGTTTCACTCCTCGAAGCTGAAGGAGAGGGGCATCTCGTCGTCGTCGTTCCACTCCTCGAAGCTGAAGGAGAGGGGCATCTCGTCGTCGGCTGTAAAAAAGGGTGGGACCACACCGACGGGGAGATTACATACAGGCATTCGTTCCGTGTGGTTGTGACTCGGGGGTGAGTGGGGTCGGGGATGGCCAGGGCGCAAGGGTAAGGATGGAAAAGAGGAATGCAAAACAGGGCGCGAAAGCGTGTGAACGTTGTGCAAACCTTGTAGGCAAGTGTTTGCTGTTTTCCGGAGCGGTGATTGGCGTTAGGTGCACACGCTAGTCTGAGCGTCTCCCTACACGGCAGCCTTTGAACTCCACTGAGAGCGAAAATCTTATCCCAGTCTCGGTGTGCCACTAGACTAGGTAGTATGGGAGCAGTGGGGCCGGAGATGATGTGGCTGGGGTAGGAGTGTTGGCAAGACAAGATAAGATGAAATGGCAACAATCTGAGGGCATCCACAAGGAAGGAGTGATAATGCAGGAGGCTACCGTCCAATTTGCGATTGCGTTAAATACTTACTTACTTTGTTGGCGGTCATCGGGGGGTCCTTCAAGGAAGCTGAACTATTGTACTCGTGGCGGCTAGATTGGGTGCGAGAATCTACCCAAGACTAGGAGACTGTTGCACAAACGACGTCGTTCGTTGCGTTGGCCTCGTTCCGTAAACCGTACTCACGACATACTCCGTTGGCCGGTGCGAAGATGTCGTCCGGGGTGTCAAAGCCGGACAGGTCGATGACGTTTTGCTCGTCGTCGACATAGGACAGCTGGAAGAAGTTGTCGCTGTAGGTAAAGCCGGTGTCACAGTTGTCAAGGTAGAAACGGAAATACCTTATATATTTAGACGTCTGAATGCCCGTGAGCCCGATTCTTTCGTACACCAATTAGGCCAAACTACTTGAAACTACTATGGCCCGATTGAAGCACAATTGCTAGCTATAGGGCCCATTCATACACTTTATTGACCCAATACACGACCTAATTCGATACCCCCTGTAAGACGCGTACAAAACTCTGCATGGAACGTACGGTCCAATGATGTATGAGCATACAACATGGACGATATGTCATGTTACTTGGAACTGGTAACGTACACCTTTTGTGCCAAACGACTTGAAAATACTATGGCCCGATTGAAGCACAATTGCTAGCTGTAGGGCCCATTCATACACTTTCTTGACCCAATACACGACCTAACTCGACACCCCCTGTAAGACGTCTCAACACACTGCACATAAACGTACGACCCAATCCTATGTGTACGAATGAGCACAAGACGTGGATGATATGATCACGATTCACTGTACGATTTAACGCCCCCTGTAAGCTGCGTTTAAGATGCTCCCAGAACTTCTCGCGCCTCTCGCTTGTGACTCGCGCTGCACCTGTGACAGTATGGCTCAAAATGAGCTCGGCAGGGGGTGCATGATAGACGATCGCAGGGGGTAACAAATGACAGTGCATCGCGGTGCGGGCAGGGGAGAGGGATAGGCATCGCGGCATGCCTACAAGACTCGTGTGGGCAAGGCTTGGGAGGGGCTGATAGAGGGGAGGGGCACCATGGATGCGATTGAACACGGGCGGGCGGACACAGAGCGCCGCACACTTCAAAATTTGAACATNGCTGATAGAGGGGAGGGGCACCATGGATGCGATTGAACACGGGCGGGCGGACACAGAGCGCCGCACACTTCAAAATTTGAACATCGTGGGTGGATAAACAATGACCGAGGGGGTACCAAACACGCCAAAACGGGTTGCTGTGGTTTCCCCGCTCCGTGTGCGTTCAAATAGAGTTACGTGTGTATATTGGCGAAAACAGATAGTTCAGTATGGGTGTGTCAAGCGAAGCTAACAAAAAATGTTGCGACACAAGTAGGAGCCGGCGCACGTTTCTGACAGCAAGAGTGATGGATGACCCACATCCAAGGAAACGAAAAGAGCTACCGTGTCCCCGTGACGGGTGCGACTTCACAACTCCGCGTCCTGACCACATGAAACTCCACGAGCTACGGCACCAGGGCATACGTCCGTATTGGTGTTATTTGGACGGCTGCCCGTACAAGGCCTACACCATTACCACCCTCAAAATACATGAGATGACACACAAAGGTAAAAAACCTCACGTGTGTGGGCAATGCAGGCGGGCATTCACGCAGTCGAGTACTCTCAGGAAGCACCAGAAGGCTCTTCACCCAGGTGTCCTCGTGACCAAAAAAGTACGACCACTACTTTCTTGTGACGTCGATGGATGCCCGTACACAACTCGGCGTCCTGACCAGATGGAGCTACATACGAGAAGGCACCGAGGTGACAAAACGTTTTCGTGTGACACGTGCACCTACAGGGCATTCACGAAAAGCGACATGACAGTACACCAGGCGACGCACTCGGATGAGAAGCCTTACGTGTGCGACTTCGAGGGGTGTGAGTATGCGTGCTCGCAACGTTCAAATTTGCGAGG